TTTCAAAATGAGCTAAAGTCATGCCAGGCGGACTTTTTCCTTCCACTCTTGATTGAGGTTACACAGTGGTAGCTTGTGGGATATGTACAGAAATATTGTTTGGATGATTGCTCTGTAGACAACAGCATTTAATGATTGGGCTTGATTGGTGGTTAGTATCTGCCTGGAGGGAAGGTCTTGGGGTTCTTCGTCAGTCCTCTGCCCTTGGAGTCATCCACTGTGCGCACCTTCTCAATAGCTGGATGCAGACACAGTCCCTGAGTTTATAAAGCATCGGATACAGCAAATGAGGGGAGGGTAGAATCAAGAATCAGGATTACCTTCACTGTGACTTTAACGCCTTTTTAAAAAAAGTCTTTAATATGGACATATGTAACAGAAAAACACATATACTTACAGCATGGCTTTATATGTCATTTAAATTTGGTGACTGATTGTCAATGGTCTGACTTCGCATTAGGACCCAAGAAGAAAGCCACAAGTCTTTGTCTGCGCATGAGCCTGTGGGAGCCAGTTATCTCAGTGGATGTTGGTGTAGGTACCCAGGCTTCTGTGATGGCCAAGCAAGCAGGGTACCAAGACCTGTAGCATGGAAGACTAGTTACGAATGAAGGTGACCCTGGGGGAGGGCAGGGGTGAGCTTAGGTTTTAATAGTTGCTGTTGATATGACTTCAGCTTCGTGATTATTATTTTGGCGTGTGTGCGTGTGTATTTTTAGAAGGCACAGATCATTCTTTAACGTTGGCTAATACTCCATGTGTGTATGTACCACCGCTTGTCTTTCCGTTCATGTGTGGGTGGGCACTTAGGTGGTTGCCTCATTTTGCTGTTGTGAAGTGTGCTGCGGTGAATGCTAGCGTGCGTGCAGCTCATCGCGTCGCGGCTCTTCTTTCTCTGAGCTCTACACTAAGTAGAGGCGGTGCTGGGTCTTAGGATGTTTTCTCTGATGATCTTGTGGTTTTAGGTTTTGCATTTCAGTCTTCGCTCCATCTTGAGTTAGTTTTTGTACATGACATGACGTATGGATACTGTTTCACTTTTTATAACACAGAAAAACTAGCAGGACACTATGCTGATATTAGTGAATCACAAAAGGACAAATATTATATGCGACCACGATTATAAAAAGTTTTAGCCATAGAAAGAAATATTCTTTAACGTTTACCAGGGCCAGATGGGGAGGGAAGGGGGTGTTACTCACCAGAAGGTCTCCGTGTATTAACTTTATTGAAGGGAAAGACAACATACAATAAAAGGAGGTAAGCACCAAAAGGCCAAGGCAAAGGAGGACACTGAAGAAGCAGAGAGCTAAAAGTAACACAGGTAAATACTATTGCACATTGCAATGGTATTGCAGTACCAGTAGCAATCCCCTACAAGC